ATATATATATATATATATATATATTTGTATATATATATATATATATATGGCAAATATATGTATATGTATATAAATTCACATGTATATACACACATACATTTGTATATCACAAATCTCACACCTTTGTCGTGCCTACAGGCCACAGTATACCACTGGATTCGTCAGCGTCACCATCGCCTCCGCCGTGTGAATTCCATGAGAGCATTACCTCAGCCAAAACAAAGCCTCCCAAAAACGTTAACGTACCAATGATCATCACTAGCAGACGCCGCCGACGACCCTGAAAATACGTTAAACCAGTTGACGATTCATTCATGATGCGATAGTAATGTGGTTACAAAGGGTGAATGTATGGCTTGCATATAGAAACGTAGCGTATTACGAATCTTGTTGATACGATACAAACGCTGACCTTTCATCTCCATACTACAGTGGTACGAGAACTCAGGGTCAATCTACTACGACACTATCAAGATGGTACAAACATTAACGATTCATACAATAATACTATAGCGGCGAGCGTACAAGGTGTAAACCTAGGTATATTAACATATGTAGCATGTACAGAATTGAACGCTAACATCCATAATATATATACAGAACTGAACGAGAACACAATATATATATATATATATATATACATATATATGTATATATATATATATGTACGGATGTATATATGTCAATAAATGTGCACATATATTTGTATTAGGCACAAACATATAGATATATAGATATATATATATATATATGTGTGTGTGCGTGTGTGTGTTTCTATGGGTATATATATATATATATAAATATATGTATATATATACACTTCTGTATAAACATGCATACATATATAGGAAAATGAATACAAAAAAAACACACAAACACACACACACATATATATATATATATAGGGTTTTTTATATATATATATATAGTACATAGTCACACAAATACATACATTAATACATGTACATACACAAACACACACACACACACACACACACACACATATATATATATATATATTTGGGTGTGTGCGTGTATATATGTATGTATGTATGTATGTATATGTATATGTATAAACACACACACATACATATATATATATATATGTACACATATATTCATATATATATACATACATGCATATAGACATACATACATACAATCATACATACAAACAAACATACATACACAGACACATAAATATACATATCCAAACATACATACATGCATACATACACACACATACATGCGTACATACATACACACATATACACGTACATACATACATACATACATACATACATAAATACATACGTATATATATATATATATATATATAAATGTATATATATATATATATATATATATATATATATATATATATATATATATATATATATATATATATATAAATGTATATATGTATATACACACTCCCACACACACACATACATACATACATACTAAATACATATATATATATATAAAATAGTATATGTATATGTATATATATATATATGTGTGTGTGTCTGTATGTTCTTATGTTTGTATGTACGCATACACACACACGTATATATATATATATAACCCTAAAAAAACAAGAGTATCATTTCTTACACACCTCTTGCTGGGTCATCAGGTACTGTGCATGGCAATGTTGTGCATATGACCTATCGTTGTTTCTATGCGTGCCAATCAGTGGCTGTCTTTCATTGTGTACGCCTTCTCCTATGATCAAGCCTGCGGCATCTGCAGGTTCGTTGCTCGTGTACTCCGCCATGGTATGTGTATAAACTATTGAGAAAGAGGATTAGTATAATCTACCGGTCAGTGGCCGTGCCTATGTATACGGTGCTTCTAAGCTAACAACAAGCCTGGTGCTGTCTTCTATTGGGATCCCACTGGGGTGTATTTATATTAAGGCTTATGCGTCTATGGAGTTCCGGTTCTGCTTGTTATCCAGGCGACCGACTATTCCCCTATGTTTCCAAACTAAAACCTTACACATGGGATGGTGCAAAGTACTTTGGAACGGGGGTGTCCTGGTTGTCTATATGGTAACGTAAATGAAAAATGTATCTAAAAAATAAATAGGACAATCAGCTGATCTCTGAGAATGACACATTGCCAGAATGCCACAGATTCCGTCATAACTTTGACTCGCGCAAAATGATATCAGATTTAGTCTTCAGAGACACGTGATATTGCCCAGTCGCCCACGTCTTTCGCAGCATAAACTGCAAATTGCGTGATGAATAATTGAATACCCGTTAGAATATAAATAGAAGAGGCGAGCAGTTCTGTATCTTTCAATACGGGTGAGAATGAGTCGCAAAACACGAGGTGATATATTTAAATAAGCGGACGCATCTCAGAACTTGATTGCCTGGGCAGGTTGTAGGTGCTTCCTGGGGTCAAATGGCCAGCGGCAGAGTAGTTTATACGGTCGGGATTACTGGAGTACAACATCATAATGTAGTCAGTGCTTCGCCCTTTTCAAAATTACATCTACGCTGTAACGGATAGCTTTAAATCGAACGACTATGCTGACACCATTCAGGATATATCTGGGTGCTAATAAATGGTTAATAAAATTGTGAAAGACAATGGACTTCATCTATGTTTTTGATGCTGTTGTCTTGTTTGAAAATCCTGAAGTATATGGTGTACAACAATATTAAGGAAAGGTTTGTACTTCATATTTAAACGCCCCCCTCCGTAGTTTGTAAACCGCTATAGCAGTGTCACCATGGCAACGGACTGTCCCGTTGGTATGGCTACGGTAGCTATACTCGCAGTTTCGTAAAGGATGTAAATATTGTTAAGCGCCTACTTGCCGATAAGTCACTAGAAAATTACATTTGGTATCTGTGTCTAATTTAGAAAGCTATGTATCTACCATACATGATTTATAACATGATACGAGAAGTGATTTTGCCTAGTTTATTATAGTTTTTTTGTTTTATTCTATAATTAAGTCCTAGTTTACCTTGTTTTTACACTGTAGGAAATATAAGGTACGTTCCTTTATAGCTTTGCGTCAGTCTGACCATTTTCTGGCATTTTTCTCGAGTATCCATATATCTCTGGTCGTGGCTATCGTAGGTTCAACGCCCTTGGAATGTGTACAAAGCATAGGCTCAACAAACGGACTTTGTGCATCATTGCTGAATATGGCCAGAGATTCGGCAGAGGTTGAGGAGTCTGAGAAAATCGATATGTACAAGAGTCATGATGTATACTGAGTCAACGGCCAGTCGATTACATAGGTACTGCGTGCATGTGCAGTTGTGTATATGGTATGTATTTGAGTTTTTGTATTTGTTACGTCGTTGACAAGCACCTGCCAAGAACTTGTACTACCCACCAGGACTTTCTTCGCTACGAACCATGTAACTTTGGAAGGACAAAGAACATCGGTTGTATAGCTGGTGAGCATCGTGTACAGTCTATCGGCGGGATATCGCCTATTCTCTTCGTACACATGAGATTGTGATATATATTTAAAAGCGCCGTGGGCCATAGCCTATGAGACCGTTACCATATGAGAATTAACATAGTCTTCTAAAAAAACAAATTATGATCCTATGTTTATTGAAATTTGTCATGGCCATTGTCCGTTCTCCCATATATTTTACACTTATCTAGTCAAGGGGATCATGAATTTGTACAAATATTCATAGCCTTCTTCAAAAGACAAAATATTGTGGGGAAGAAAAAATGCTGTCTCAGGAGTCAGGTCAATAGTAAAAAACCTTTATACCATACATCAAAAACTCTCTCTCTCTCTAAAAGAGAGCATATGCCACCAAAGACTCAGATTACCCGGAGGCGTTACCAAGACACTCCCGATCTCTAAAGATGTGGGACGGAATTCGTATTTTGGGGTGTCTTGGTACAGATTACCGCCTCATAACGAGCAATTTGGATCCTTTATAAAGCATAGGCCACTACGGAAGGTGATATTAATACTAATAAGACTCCTCAGATCAATAATTTTGTCACATCTCCAAGAGCATAGGTCACCAAGGACCCAGATTACCCCGCAAGAGTTACCAACTCAGATCATGCTGATATCGTGGACTAGTGCGTATTGAATCAATTGCCTGATATGTAGCCTCATGAAACAAAGGTACAGCAGAAGGTCATGTCTGTAGGACTGGAATACATCATCACAGGAGTACCTCGAAATATACTCTAGCGAGTCCACCTTTAGTGCCCATTTTATTTATTAGAACTTAAAATCGACCCATCCCGTGGGGATCACACCGTAGCCTTCTAAATGAAACATATGATCACACGGTATATATCGGCAACCCAACGGCTCTCATGAGTGTGTAGTGTATACCGTGTGTACACTCCATTGGCTATAACCCTAAACCCTAAAACCCTGCATCCAACCAATTGCATCAATACCAGGGGAAACCACTTGTATCTATATCCGCGGGGCTCCGTAGTCCGTATGTATGTGCTACTAAAGTTCATCCTTCACTACTTCAGCCTTGTCGGCCACTACAGTTTTGGCATCCACATCAATCCCTTGGTCTCCGAACCACTGCAGCCTGAACCTCTGTTCCTCCACTTTGGCTTCGAGGCTGGCGATTTTGTACTCGATACGCTCTCGCATTGAGAACTGACTCTTATCCACCTGAGGGGAGGCAGCACATACCATTTAACGCGTTGGCCGTGCGTGTCATTGTGTAGGTAGCATACCATTTAAAGCGTTGGAAATAAGTGTCAAGGTAGGTGTTTCACTATGGGTTTCAATCAGACACGGATTCATATGCAAGTGGATAGGAGCATGGGCATCTACGTGACTAAATGCGTAGAAACTCAGGAATATATATATATAGATTCGAAAGCATGCAACTACGGTTCATCAGCAGACATCAAGGTATACGAGACTACACGAGACATATGAGGAGGATCATTTGTAATACGGGAAACCACATACGTGCGCATAGAAAGATACAAACAATTTGTTCTGTTATGTTAATCTGAGTGTTCTTCCCCGTCTCTGGTATATGTATTACCTTAGCCTTGGCGGTTTCCTCGGCCTCTCGTTCTAGGCGGGCCTCTTTCTGGCAGCCACACTCATTCGCTGGTGCCTCGCGCTGTAAGATGATATGAATACGTACATGATTACTTTTCAATGTGAGTAAAAATGATACACACATATACACACACATACACATACACGTACACACACACACACACACACATATGTGTGTGTGGATACATACATATACACATACACATACACGTACACACTCACACGCATGTTTATATATATAAATATATATATTATATATATATATTGTATATGCATATGCATATGCATATGTATATGTATATATATATATATGTATATATATATATATATATATATATATATATATATATATACGTATACGTATATATACATTTACAAAAATTGTTTTAGATTCATGCGTAAGATTCATGCACAACTTCACATGAATATACACACACGGATAATGATAAATTTAAATGGATCTATGTATGGCGAGATATGTAGGGAGTATCGGGCAAAACCGCTAGTTTTAATATTTGCAAGTCTATAAACAAGACACATTGGCCAAATACACCCACGCACACACACACATCATATACGGAAAATATGCTTATAAAAACAAAATATACAAACAATCCCGAGTACATACGAGTTCAAATATATACACACACACACACACATAACATATATATATATATATATATATTAACTATATAACTAATATACACATGTACGTACCCTCGCGAGACCATTGTGCTCTCTCCATGCATCGCTAAACTCTGCTTCCAAATTCTTTAACTTTTCCTGTTGCGCTTGAGCCTTGTCCTCCTGTTCAGCTTCGGCAGCGAAGTCTATGCCCGCGATTTCCTATAGATAGGCGCATGAGAAATATTAATTGAATATACAGAGACACCGAATATAGATTACTCAGATATAATAAATATGGACTACTTTACTACAATAAATATGGACTTTTTCAACATCCAATTGAACTCACAGAGACACCGAATATAAATTACTCAGACATAATAAATATGTACTATTTTACGATAATAAATAAGGACTATTTCAACATCCAATTGAACTCCCAGAGACACCCAATATAGACTACTCTGATCTACCATATACACCATATATGGACTGCTTTATAATCCAATGGAATGGACAGACACACTACTAAAGATATCAGACTGTGTTGTTTGTAGCTCAGGCGAGACAACATCAGTTGCTCCGACGTCACATCCGTGTCCTGCTTGCGCTATGTTTGTCAGTTCGTGCGCCCACACGCGACTGCGAACACATGCATCTACTGCATGTGCAGGTATGCAACCGCAACACACATACATACACTTACAGCTGCATCTGTGCGATTGGTATGTATAGCTCTGTAGATATATACAATGAACCACTCCGTAAGAAATTCATGTGTGCTCATTAGTTTACATACAGACACACACAGACACACAGACACACAGACACACACACATATATATTTATATATATATGGATATATATATATAATACAATATAAGGTATACACACGCACCAGCTGCTTCTGGTAGTCTGCGTAAGTGTCCTGCATTCGCTGCAACTTCTGGTTGGCGGTCTTGGACGGCGCTGATTCGGCCTCCAAGATTTTGCGACGGAGCTTTAGGGTCTGAGTGTTAACATGAACGCAGGAAGTATAGGAAGACGAGAGAACGGGGTGTGAGGTGGCGTGGCGAGAGAGTAGGTGGTGTACCTCCAGAA